TCGCTCTCCTTTCGTGTGGCAATTCTGCCCCGGGATCTGATAGAATCAAGTTCAACTTGCTGAAAAACCTCCCAGACGTCGCTAAGAGGCGCATGTTGAACTTGTACAATCAGTTCTTGGAGCTCAATATTGTTCCCGACGATTGGAGACGAGTAAGGGTGATAGCCATTAAAAAGCCTGATAAACCCGCGTCGGATCACAATTCGTATCGGCCTATCGCGATGCTGTCGTGTATTCGGAAATTGATGGAGAAAATGATCCTTTTTCGCCTCGACAAATGGGTTGAGACGAACCACCTTCTTTCAGATACTCAATTTGGTTTCCGTAGGGGTAAGGGAACGAACGACTGTCTCGCGTTGCTTTCCTCGGAAATTCAGTTAGCTTTTGCTAAGAAAGAGCAAATGGCTTCTGTGTTCTTGGATATCAAGGGGGCTTTTGATTCAGTATCCGTTGAAGTTCTTTCAGAGAAACTCCACGCTTGTGGATTGTCTCCATTAATGAATAATTTTTTTGTACAATTTGCTGTCAGAAAAACCTACGAGCTTTTCTCATGGAAACTCTACAGCTTTTCGATTTAGCTACATGGGTCTCCCCCAAGGCTCATGTTTAAGCCCCCTTTTGTACAATTTCTACGTTACAGAAATTGATGTCTGTCTTAGTGACAATTGCACGTTGAGACAACTTGCAGATGACGGCGTAGTGTCTATCACAGGGCCAAAAGAGGTTGACCTGCAAGGACCCTTACAGGATACCTTGGACAATTTGTCTACTTGGGCTATTCAGCTAGGTATCGAATTCTCCACGGAGAAAACTGAGTTGGTCGTTTTTTCTAGGAAGCATAGCCCAGCACAACCGAAGCTTCAACTTTTGGGTAAACCGATCACTCATTCCATGTCTTTTAAATATCTCGGGGTCTGGTTCGATTCCAAATGCACCTGGACATCCCACATTGAGTATCTGAGACGAAAATGCCAACTAAGGATCAATTTCCTTCGATCAATTACCGGAACGTGGTGGGGAGCCCATCCACAAGATCTTCTGACGTTGTACCGGACAACGATTTTATCCGTTTTAGAGTACGGTAGTTTTTGCTTCCAGTCGGCAGCTTAAACGCACATCATCAAGCTGGAACGGATCCAGTATCGTTGTCTTCGTATCGCGTTAGGATGCATGCACTCGACTCATACTATGAGTCTCGAAGTGCTGGCGGGCATGTTGCCACTATCCGTCCGTTTTTCAGAGTTATCTCTGAGGCTCCTCACCCGTTGCGAAGTAATGAACCCACTGGTGATCGAAAATTTTGAGAAGCTTCTGGAGCTAAATCCTCAAACATGTTTTATGACTTTATACTACCTATATTTAACACAGGATGTCAGCCCTTCAAGAAATATTCCCAATCGTGTAATCTTCTCCGATTTCGGCAATTCAGTGAATTTTGATTTATCTATGACACAGGAAATCCGCGGAATTCCAGAGCATCATCGTCCTATGATTGCTCCGTCATTATATGCTGCAAAGTTTGGCCATATTGATTCTGCAAGAACGTTTTTCACAGATGGATCTCTAATAGAGGAGTCCGCTGGTTTTGGTGTATTTAATGAATTTCATAGCGCCTCTCGAAAACTTGAAGCTCCTTGTTCTGTGTATGTGGCTGAACTGGCAGCAATTCACTACACTTTGGAAACTATTGCTTCACTTCTTCCAGCCCACTACTTTATTTTTACGGATAGTCTCAGTTCTGTCGAGGCTATCCGTTCCATTAGGCCGGTAAAGCACTTCTCGTATTTTCTCTTGAAAATACGAGAACTGCTTAGTACTTTATCCGTGCGCTCTTTCATCATCACCTTCGCGTGGGTCCCTTCGCATTGCTCAATTTTGGGCAATGGGAAGGCGGATTCACTTGCGAGGGTGGGCGCTATGGAAGGCGACATTTATGATCGACAGATCGCCTATAGTGAATTTTTCTCTATTTATCGTCAGCAGTCGCTCGTTAGCTGGCAACATCAATGGAGTGAAGGGAGCTTGGGACGATGGCTACATTCAATTATCCCTAAGGTGTCGAAGTTTGCATGGTTCAAAGGGTTGGACTTGAGTCGAGACTTCATACGCGTGATGTCTCGTCTCATGTCCAATCACTATTGTCTAAACGCTCACTTGTTCCGTGTGGGGTTGGGAGACAGCAATCTCTGTGAATGTGGACAAGGTTACCAGGACGCTGATCACATCCTTTGGTCTTGTGCGGAGTATCGTGGAGTCAGATCACATTTTTATGATTCCCTTCGGGCTCGAGGTAGACAACCTAATGTTCCAGTTCGGGATATTTTGGCTAGACGCGATCTGGAGTTTATGAAACTCATATATGTTTACTTTAAGGATATTAACCTTAGATTGTAAGTTTGATTAACCTTGTGTTTAGTTTGTATTTTGTACGTGTGGGTTTTTTTTTTCAATGTTTGTTTTCAAGATGAATAGAAATAATTTCATGCTTTAGGATTAATTAAATAGTTGTATCGTAAACCACATTTCAAACCTCCTTCTTCCCTTTTCCCATCCAAAAAATTGTAAATCTCCACTAACCTCGAGACAACCGCGAGTACTCGGTCCAGTTCCTTTAACTTTAAATTTAAGACAGTAATAATGTATAACGCAAAGGATAACTCGGCTCTGTAAAGTTTATTCGATTGAGCCTGTACAAATAAAGTAATTATAAAAAAAAAATAGTTTTCCTTAACCAATTAGAATAATTAAATTAAAGCAGTGTTCCATAACGTGGGTAGATCACCTTTTCGTGGTACGTTACAGGATGTAAGTTCTACCACCAATTCCTAGTCTTGACTACTTCAAAGTAAGGGAACAGGATTTTTCAGTAATCAAAGGAACACATCTTAGTTCTTACTTTTTATGTCTTTTTGATAGTGACAATATTCGGCTTTGTCCACGGAGGATGATCTTGAAACAAGAAAAAAATGAGTTAGTTAGTCTTCATCTATGTGATTCCTAACCTTCTATTCGTTGTTCCATAGTGGTTAAGACTAGGGTTCTGATGCATGTTCATTATCGGTGTCAGTGTTTAATTTTGTTGCTAAGGAATTCAATTTTGACTGACAAAAGTGTGCGCCTTTGGAGGGTGTTCCAACACTCCGAAGGGTATAAATAGCGGTACCTTTCAATTAGAATCGATTCCTTGCGATAAAGGCATGAATGACTACTGTATAAAAATCGAATACTTCATCATTTCTCAATAGTGATGGAGTAATACCTTAAACTAAGGACACGTGATATACTACAATAGATCAAATTACTGCTCGCAGTGGTGTTATGTCCCGAGCAGAGAAAAAAAGTAGATACATGACAGTTACCAGTATGCGCGGTCACCGTAGTCGAGACGTTTTCTGTAGTAGTCGAATGCCTTTGCTACGTTTGCAAAACAAGCTATCAAAGTACAGTACCAAACTAAAATATCATATGACAGTCTCTGTCATACTACATTGTCGTCGAGGTCCGTCACGTATTTATGTATTTTAGTTTTCTCTTAATAAGAGCTGCTAATGTTGTACTGTTCTGTAAAATTCTGTAATTCTGAAAATAGCAAGCAGTGATGTCCTAGTAATAACATTTCTGATCAGAAATGGTTTAATTTACAGAAAATGGAGGAATTTGAACGAAATAACACATTGTCATATCATAGTTATTTGATAAAATTCGTTTTGCTCGAATGTTGTTCTACCGTTTGTGTTGTGTGTGAAAGATGACGGTAGAGCATGAGTGTACGAATACAAACAGACTGTCGCGCTCGACAACGAAGTGAGTTTAGTAAAAAACGTCGACTGTTTAAACCTCAGGAGGTGCATCTTGAAAGCCGCAAATGATTTACAATGTATCGTGCAGGCTTCATTATGTATCTTGTGTGCGATGTTCTCATAATTTAAGGACAAGGTTTATGGAATCCCTCCATTTTGCATTTTCAATACTAATTTCGACACCCAAAAGACATACAGATCTGGAAATTAAAGGCGATGCTTACTTCTCTGCATTTTGAACTTCGTACATTAAGAAGATCGCCAGATGTGGACCCATCAAAATGCAAAATGGTATTGAAAGTTGTATGGTCAATCGTGACCTTAACGTTAAATAATCGTGTAATGTAGCGAGAATGCAACATCGGGGATAAGTCTTCATTCGTGGCTTGTTTATGAAGATCGAGCGCACACAGAAAAAAATCAGAATTTTATTGGTGATGTAAACATCCATCCATGCAAACATTCATGCATGTAAACTTCCTTTTCACATAAACTTGCAACTCGTATAACGCTCCTTTTAGGTGCATCATAGTAACGGAAATGGGCGTGACCCCGGCGTAGTGGTTACCATCCATACGCCAAAGTCACGAGTTCAAGTCTCACCCCCGGACAAGTCACGAATGACCCAAAAGTGTTAAAGTGACTATAATAAAAAAAAGTAACGGAGATTTACACTACTTTTTTAACTGTGCATGTTAGACCAGTAGTCTTTGTTGTTTTATGTAGGTAGTAATAATTAATTAATACATCAGTTCGGATCATTTTACCGTAAACGTCAACACCTCAATTTAATTCAATCTTAATTTATCTTGATTAATATGCAGTTAGGGGCCTCAGATAGCCTAGTCGTAGAATCACGGCATCACCAAGCTAGAGGGAACGGGTTCGATTCTCGGTTCGGTCGAGGAAATCTTTTGAGCTGGAAATTTTCTCGACTGCCCTGGGTATCATTACGCTTGTCATACAATATACGATTTCATGCATTGGTTGGCATAGAAAGCTCTCAATCAATAGCTGTGGCAGGGCATTAGAACACCTAAGTTGAGAGCCGGCAAAGCGCTCGCTACAGAAGTGTAACAGCCTAGCAGAAGTTATATGCAGTAAAGCAACCTTATATGCTTGAGTCACCCATATTCCTAATCGCGCCGCATTGACCGTAGAATCCCCAGATCAAAACAAAAGCGGTCATATTTAACCGTTTCAGTAGTATCACTCTAGAGCTCGATGCGTACGGACGCTCTCGTTTGTGGTGAAACAAGTTTTTAAACTAAAACCCTCACTATACGCAGTGAATGTCAGGGACTATCCGAAATGAATGGTAAGATGAGAGCAACGACGGGGTTGATAAACCTGTTGGCATTCATTTGCACGTTCGCTGGAAATGACATCAATGGAGGTAATGTGTAATTTACAATCTGCTACCGACGAAAAAATGTATGGTTTTTTTTGTGATTACCGATGACTCTTACAGAACTGTTGCCAGAAAATGTACCCTTATCACAATCGGTTTCAAATAATCCACTCATGCCAAACGATGAACAAAGTGTTAGAGGTAAATATTTACTATTAATGTAAAATTGTAAATGTTAATCATTTGGCTTCGTTTCAGATTGCCCATACACAAACTTTCCATACGCTAAAAGAGGATTGGCTAGTTCAATTTTTGCAGAACAGTACCAGGATAAAACCTTTGCTCATGTAGTCAAACTTGATACAGTCGAGGAATCATCATGTGTCGGCATAATCGTAGATCAATCTCACATTCTGACTACGAAACAATGTGCACAGAAAGAACCCCAAACGATCAGTTTTCAAAATGTAACTTTACCGCGCTGGGGTATTCTCAACACAAAGTACCATCTTAGCCTTGATGTCGCCATTATACAACTTAAAACCAATTTAAGGTACATACAATTGATAAGTGTTGGTTTTGCGTGCTGCCATCCTCATTCATTACAATATTCTTCAGCATAGACAAACAGATCACACCCGCATGCTTGTGGACCGGCTCAACCAGTAATGGGTTTTCCAGAGTTCAACGTGTTTCAAGGGGTAAATCAGTTGAGCGTCATACAAAGAGAAACGGAATAACATAAGTTGTAAATGTCGTTCCAGATTATCATACTGGTGGATTGACGATTAGTTCAACTGAATGTAAAATTGGAGGGCGAGCGCAGTGTTTCGAAAACGCAAAAAAGGCATCCGATGGTTTTCTACAGGTCCAAGCCGTTTCCAACTACCGACAGCATCCATTTCTGATTGCGCTTGGTTCTGATGCTGATGGATCGCTACTGGAAGTGTCGAGTTATTGGGAGTGGATTCAAACCGAGACGGGTTCCAGTGTGGATCCCATTGGTGAGTATGAAAGAAGTTTACGTTAAATGGAGCGTCATACCGTCATAAAGCGGATTTTGTTCATCTGATTCATTATTTTGTTCTTCATGGCGCAGAATGACTCAAATGTTATCCCTTTTCGCTAATTTCATCAAAGATGGAAACCCTATCGGGTAATAATAACTCGTTACGAGTACATTGATTTTTTTTTGTGATTTTTCCGTGTCATTTGAGCTGTCATAGGACCTTACTATGGAAAATGAGGTGAGGTATTCGTTTTAGATACATTTATCATTCATACTTGCTCTTTTCACGAAATGGCTGAAGGCATTTATTACGCAACTTGCATGTGCTGTTGCTGTTTATTTGTGGCCATTGATGTTGTGGTTCCGAAAGAACCGTTGGGTGATGTTGATATTTGTCCCTTCTAAGATGTTCGTCATTTGTTGATTGAGGAAGTTTTCAGGTATCAAGTATATGCCATGATAAAGTCACACGATGATCTTCTAATCATCGGTTGGATGAAGTTCTGTCCTAGAAGAGTAGTCTAATTAATATTGGTGGAGTTTGGTTTTGTAAAACGCACTGTGTTCAAATCTTCAGTATTGAAAGTATCGGTCTGTGATATGAGAAATATGAACAGTATCTCTTGCATTCGGCACTGCAGTTTGTTTAAAATTTGGGAGGGGGGAGTGGTGGCAAAGGGGGGAGAGGGTTAACATACATTGCTTTTCCAAGTCTCATTCCTCATTGTGGTGGTCACGCCGTGATCCACCTTTAGCCGCTGACTTGGTCCTGCTTGCTGCAGGATCAAGCGCCACGCCATCCGAAGCCACAAGTAATAGAAGAAGTAGTAGTAGTAGTAGTAGTAGTAGTAGTAGTAGTAGTAGTAGTAGTAGTAGTAGTAGTAAAATTATTTATTTCTGTTGATTATGATGCTGCATTGATTTATCATTTTAATTGATTAGCCTACCTGGCTCTTCATCTTTGTTAAATTTGATATTCTAATTTAATATTTGCGTTTTTCAACTAGTTTACAGAATACCCCTTTTGGGGGTGTGTTTTTTTTCAATTGAAAAAAAAAAGTGAAAACCTACCTAACTACGAGTATAACTTAACCTAACGTGCTAGATCACGTATGATCTGATGATTTGATCTCAGACAGGTGTCTCTGAACCTTTCCAGGATGAATACTCTCCGTTCTTCTAATGTCTGAATTCCAGCCAGGAGGTGGATCTCAGAATTTTTAGTCCGCGGAGGACTGTTTAGGACCATCCTAAGGATCTTGTTCTGGATCCTTTGGAGTTTAAGGTGATGGCATTTTGCTCAACTCTCCCGGATTGGCATACCGTACTCGATTACAGGAAGGATGATTTGTTTGTAGACAGCAAGCTTATTTTTCAGGGACAGGGTTGACTTCCTGTTGATAAGTGGATACAACGATCTGATCAAGATGTTGCACTTGGTTTTCGTTTTGTCAACGTGCTCCCTGAAAATAAGCTTGCTGTCTAGTGTTAGTCCGAGGTTCGACCTCTTTGGACCATTCCACCACTGTGCCGTTCAGGCAGATCTTGTTATTCTCCGACGGAACAAGTCTGGGAGATTTAGAGTGTGGAAAGATAATGACCTGGGTCTTTGCCGCGTTGATACGGATCTTCCAGCTGTTGAAATGTTCAGACAGGACGTCCAGGTCTCTCTGAAGTTTGGCAGTCAGAGCTCCGATGAACCTACCCTTGTAGACGATGGATGTGTCATCTGAGAACAGAGACAACGATCCACCATCAGGGAGAGCCGGCATATCGGAGGTGAACAGGTTGAATAGGATGGGGCCAAGGATGCTTCCTTGTGGAACCCCGGCACCGATGTTGAAAGCATCCGATGTGATGCCATTTAGAGAGACTCGGAACGTCCTGTCTGATAGATAGTTGTTTATTATCTTCACTAGGAAGATTGGATGACCGTTGCAATTTGAACACCAGGCCATCATGCCAGACATTGTCGAACGCTTTTTCAACGTCCAACAACGCCATGGCAGATGTTTTCGAAACAGACTTGTTCCGTCTGAGAATGTTTGTTACTTGAGTCAGCTGGTGGACGGTCGAACGACCTTTCCGAAAACCAAACTGTTCCTTGAGTAACAAGTTGTTTTCATCGGCAGACGTTAGGAGCCGGTGGTACACTGCTCTTTCGAACAGTTTTGATAGCCCTGAGAGAAGGCTGATTGGTCGATAACTTGAAGGAGAGGACGGATCCTTCCCAGGTTTCCGGATGGGTATGACTTTAGCTGACTTCCAACACGAGGGGAAGTAGCAAAGTCTGAGGCACAGATTATAAATCAGTGTCAGATGGTTGTAGAATCTGGAACTCAAGTGTTTGAGTTCCAGATTCAGGATGTTGTCGAAACCTGGGGCCTTCATGTTTTAAGATGATTGATATAGGCCAACAGTTCGTCAGCAGTAATCTCGGATTCCTCTGGAAAAATGTTACAGGAATCTGAAGAAGATTGGTTGCATTAACAGCAACCTCAGATTCATGAGGACTGACGATGTTTTGTCCGAGATTATGGGAGCTGACGAAGTGTTGACCTATCGCGGCAGCCTTCTCTTCAGGAATTATCAGATGAACCACTGGGTCGCCGGGACGATCCAGTGGGGTCAGTGGTGGAATGGGCCTAGGCTTGTTTTTTAAGAATTTTTGTAAGTTTCCAGAAGGGCTTTGCACAATCTGGGAGAGAGCGGATCTTAATAGCAAAATCGTTATTTCTGAGATCCACCATCCTGGCGTGAATGATCTTTGTTAATCGATTACAATTGGTCTTCAAGTTAGGCAGGCCAGTACGCTGGTACTGCCTACGAATAGTGTTACGGACTCTAATGAGATCTGGTAGGGCTGTCAAGGTTCAGAGTGTTACTCACCTGTCTGAATACTGGCACGTGTTGTTCCCTGGCCCGGGAAATCGCCTCCTCGATGGTTTGTAGACACCGGTCAACATCTTCGGACGTCCCCGGTTGGACATCGTAGTCGATGGTTGTGTCGACGCAGTTGATTTGATGGCAGTTGCGCTGGGAAGCTTCGAATCGGTTTACCGAGGATCCAACTTCGGCCACCACCGGGTAGTGGTCCGAGCTCAGCTCCTGGAATGCCACAGGTTGCGAGATGTTGTGTCCCATGTTGCTTACGTAGATGTCGATGGTTGCATGGACCCCAGACCGACTCAACCGGGTGGGAGAGTCCGGGGACAAGATGGTATACTGGCCCTTTTGCAGGTCTTCATTGAGGATGATGTCGTTTCTATTGCTCCGACCGTTGACCCAAGCTTGGTGTTTTGTGTTCAGATCGCCAGCAATGATAAAGCTCCCGCTCCTCCGGGTGAGTTTGATGATGTCTTTCCGGAAGGCCACTGACGACCCGTTCCTGATGTTGGTTTGCCGCGATGATGGTGATTGGGCTAAGTGATGTGCTCACCTCCACTCCGATGGCTTCAATTGTTTTCAGCTGAAGGTTTGGTAGCAGCTGGCAACTGATGTTCCGTTTTGCAGCGATGGCCACTTCTCCACCTCCTCCAGAGCAGGTGCGATCAAGTCTGACGAGCCGGAAGTTGGGATGGAATACGTTTAATTCGGGCTTCAAATGTGTCTCGGTGATGATAACAATGTCGACCTCCTTGGTGTTGAGGAAATTGAGAAGCTCTCTATGCTTGTTCGTCAGTGAGCAAGCGTTCCAATTTGCAATTTTTATAGCTTCACGGTCCATACTTGGTGACGAGTGACAAGGCAGCATGAAGCTGTTCAGATCGAGTCTTGCAGGTGCGCAGAATGACGATCACCTCTGCAACGAGCGTTACTAGTTCCTCTGATGTTAACGGAGATTCGTCAACTGAGTCACCTGAGGCAACACGAGCATACGGTAGTCCAGGCGCTGAGGCAGAACCTTGATTTGGTAGAGCTGCAGCAGCAGTGAGGCGATGCTGAGCTGAGGGGGCGGCTCGTTGACTGTTGTTGAGAGGTAGCGGTGGAAGATTTGGGACCAGACGACGAGGATGGATTGCCGGGTATTGTTCGTCCGTGATGGCTGGTGGTGCACGTTTATTTCGATGCCGGCCTGGCTGGTTGCTAGTAGCCACCTTCTTCCTCATGGTGATGAATTCCGATCGCTTGGGGCAGTCCCGAGTAGTGGCACGGTGAGTTCCGCCGCAATTCACGCACTTCGGGATGGTGTCATCAGCTTGAGCACAGGTCGCCGTCGAGTGGGCCATAGCGCACTTGTCGCAGCGTGGTTTCATATGACAGTTCTTCGGGCCATGGCCGAAGGAGAGGCAACTTGTGCATTGGGTCACATCACGGTGTTGCGGCTTGTAGTATTCCCAGTCGACAATGACCTGAAACAGGTCACGTATGTTGCTCTTGAGCGCAGCAAGGTTGTTGGAGCCCTTCGTGAGGTGGATCAGAAACAGTTGGTCACGATAGTTGGTATTGGGCATAGACCGTCGATTCATTGGGTGGACTGCCTCTGGTTTCAATCCGAGCCTCACCAGTTCATCTTTTACGGTAGCCGCTTCGTACGAAGGCAGACCTCGTAAAACAACCTTCAATGGTTTCATCGAAGGCAAATCGTGCATCCACTGTGCATCCCTAAGCTGGGCGACGTCCTTCATCGGGGTAAACAGCGGGGGAAACCGCTCCTTTTTTCGCAATTTCAGTGGCGTCACCACCGCCATTTTCTACTCCGAGCACCGAGAATTGGTTGCTCTGTAGCAGCCAATTTGCTGCGTCATCCGAAGCAGCGCTGGGATCCGTTTGCGCCTTCTTGCTAGGGCCCTCCGAACGTAGCAATAAAACGAACTAGAAAAAACTCGATAGCGAAGCGAACGAACGAACGAACTGTACTGCTAGACGGTCCAGCAACGAATGACTCTACAAAAGCACGACAGCAGCGCTGTTTTATATCTTTTCAGGTTCAAGCAGAACGATGTGCAACCAAGTGGTATTCCTTTATGATGACTGGGTTTGGGGAAAACGTTTAGTTCATGAAAACAGTGACCAAAATTATCACTTGCGCATTTTTCAAAAGTTGTTTGATTAAAAATTGGAAAAAAAAATATTTCAGAAGATTAGTTAAGTAATGTCCTATCGATTGGCGTATTTGGATTTTAATTTCATCTATAAATGACAAAATTACAAGCGTTCAAAACCTAGCACTATTTCACCACACATATTTTTTTATTTGTACCCCAGTATAGTCGACAAAGACGTAGTTCTATGTCAAAATCCGCTTGTAAAAAAATTAAAAATTGTTCAATTTGAGGCTTAGATTTGGAAAACTGTGCAAATGAACTTTGTCAAAGACAGCTAATCGATTCAACTTTTGGGCAAAAAGTTAAATTTTTTTCTTAGTGTTCCGCACATACCTACGAACCGGCGTATACTTGAGCTCGTAGGTATACGCGGAGAACTTGGCCTAAAGTAATTGGTTAGCAAATTAATAGTTTAATTCCGGTTTCTTTCCTTTTTTCAATACAAACTTTAAAGTTCTCCCGCAAATCAAGATCGTAACCAAAATCGTTCAAATTTTGCGTAGTTGCTGAGGTTCTCAATACAGATCGAAAGAGAAGTGGGGAACAGGGAGTTATAAAGTTGACTTTAGGATGGGCACGTTATGGGTGTTCCCTGGGTGGACAGATTTTGACTTGATCCTATGATAATAGACGGTATATTAAATCAGACGAACATGGACATTGTAATTTATCAATACCATAGACCTGAATGGTGTGGAGTCGACCACGTTCAATATTCAAGTTATTTTGCTTGGAAAATATTAATTTTCTTGTCTTTGTTTACATATCAACACTGCTCAAAAATTAGTGCCTTTTTTCAGAGCGAAAATGAGAACTCGTTCGTGACTTTCTCTTTATTTGTTTACAATTGCTTCATTCCCTCAGCCCCGTTTATTTTGATGTTTAATTTTTCTTTGTTGAGGATTATTACGGTCATTAGTGATTTTTGTAATGAATTAATCGTACACCATTTGTATGAATAGATTTGGTCAGCCTTTAAACTACACTTATTTTATTACTTTAAAAATTTAATTTAGGGACCTAATGTTGATACTAATACTTTATCTTTCGAACGAATCTGTTTAAGGGACGTAAGCCAGGGGCTGATCGTTGGATTTTTTATGACAACATCTGTTGGATTTTTTCACCACCATTTCGAGTGACTCCGCACCACTCAGCTATAATAATCATCATTTCTTCTACACTCAACTTGGCTGAAAACGAAGAGAACCTTAAAGGGCCACCCACATTAGATCCGTTTGCGTTGCGTTGACGTAAATTTGACAGTTAGACAATAGATTTAGCTGTCACTTTGCCGCAACGCGTCCGATCCGGATCTAATGTGCGTGGGCCTTAACAGATGGACCGACTGCCTGCATGAATTTGAATTTTTACATAACAGCATTCTCATGATCAAGGCAACCTCTGAGTGTTGAAGTCAACATTTGTTTTTCTTCATTCGTGGCTGGATGTTCATTATCGTCTCCGTTGTTGTCAATATTAATAATTGGTGGGGATGATTTTGAAGATCAAATGCAATCAAATTTTAATATAGCACTGAAGAACGTGTGGTGCTGGTTACAGATCGATGGGAAATTATAATTTATTGCCTCATGCTGAATTGATGATAATATCGAAGTTTTAGGCTCTGGGGTCGACAATATTCAAAATAATCATTTTGCCAAAAATGAAACTGAGGATCGATTCTGATTTTGGCAATTTGGGTTGGATAATCAAGCACTGGTGAATATCAACAAACGCGTATTCGTTGATGTATAATGAACTCATTATTTCACTCGTATACGTAACAGCGATAATTTTCAAAATAAACGCAATTCATCTACACTGGGTTGAAGCGCTACTTCTTGCGTGTGATGGTAAATGATACAGACCAGAAATGGTATGAGTGCTTCCTGTAGTGGAAGTATTGCGATCGTGTCAATAATTAAATCGAGCAAAAATTAAATTGAGGTCTATTAGGTAAGTATTACTTACCGGAAAACTACTACCAGCATCCAACAAAACTAACGGTCTTTATTTCATGATGCAGCCTGATCAAAACAACAAATTCTTCCTTTAACTGTCACCCTTAAATAATATTTAATTTCAGAATGTGCTGTAAGATACTTCAAATTACGGGAGTATGATGACCGAGTCGCCACCGTTCACCGTTCTGATAAATACCAATCAATCCAGTTGATGAACGCATATGTTGCCCCCTCAGTCAATAACGGTTATAAAGTTTTGATTGGTCACTACGTAGAGGATCCAGTTAAGGAAACCGTTGTCACCTATAGTTGCTACGGTACTTTGATACATCGTAACTTTGTGTTGACTACAGCGAGCTGCATTGACGGTTTCAAAAAGTATTGTTGTAGATTATGCTACATTTTTTTGCAATTATAATCCATATATATATTATTTTCAGTGAAGCTTTGATTGTAGAAATGAAACAAGATAGAACATATCGGCTGTCCTCCGATCCAAATTTTTTACTGAAAGCCCAAAGTCAGTATTTGGAACAGGTAACCGTGGCAGAAGTTTTTCTACATCCCAATTTTAGTATATCACCACTGCACGACGATTTGGCACTATTGCTACTGGATCCTGTTGAGTTGAAGTAATATTATTCATCATCGATCCGAATTACGTAACATTAAAACATTAAAATTTCCTAAACAGATTTGACACTAACTTTAAACCGGCCTGTCTGTGGACTTACGACTCTATCAAAATAGAAGCATTTCAAACTAACGGTCATGGCCCCCAGAGGACAGTTGAAAATCTAGAAGAACGAGTTGAGCTGTTGCTTCAGGACAGAAGCGAAACAGAGCTCTATTTGATTTCTAAAGTGCTGGAGGATTGTCCCTTCAATTTGACCAGGAATCAAATGTGCGTGGGAGAAACCGGTACACTCGTACCTGGGACCTGCAAGGTAAGCATGGAGGCGATGATAATTGAAAGTACGATTAAACGTTTACTTAATTCTAGTCCAACTTGGGTTCGGCAATGTCTCGTGAAATTGGAATTTTTCATTCTTTTTATTATGACTACGTCTTTGCGATCAACAGCAAAGGAGATGAATGCGGCATCAATGTACCTTCCACGTTCACGAAAGTTGCACCGTATGTTAAATGGATTGACAGTATCATCTTTGGCGAAAATGGTAATCTTGAATATGTCCTGTCTCCCACAAACTCATTGAACTCAATTTCAATTTTCAGTTGAATTCAACAACTCCGACATCTACTACGGTGACGAATGCAAGTTGCGAGGTGGATCTACAGGAGTGTGTCTAACGGTTGAAGAATGTCCCGGAATTGTTGATGACCTGATGACAGGAGACGCTGCAAACTTGGAGCACTGTGGTTTCATGAAGGGAGACATTATGGTGTGCTGTTCCTCCATGGATTCGGCTCCAAGTAATCTACCAAGCACTGATCTCAATGAGTTGGTGAAAGAAATCGATCAGTGTCCGGAGTTATACTCAGATCTTCGAAAGGGTAGATCTCCATACAATTTTTGGAAGGGTGAAGAGACCTTTTTGGTAAGTATTTACTAGCCTATTACTAACGAATTGACCGAGGAAGGTACGAATCGGGTCGAGCATCCCCTTTACCAAACTCATCCGTTGATAAGGGATGGTGAGGGGTCCCACATTCCTCAAAATTGTCCTTTGCTCGATTTCGACTTTCTATATACAATTTTAACACTGCCGTACTACAACTATCAACTCTATGCTTTCATCTTCTCATCTATCGTATAATCTGTCCACTTTAAGTCTGATATATATTGACGTTAAGCATCTCCAACTAAATATTTTCATGCTAATATTTTCAACAATATTTTCGGGGGATAATCAATCCCCCAGATCATTGTTGTATCCGATGGAATAACTGCTGTAGTCAAACAGAAGGGGAAATATTGAAACATTAAATCAAACTTTCTTGATTTTGCGTCAATATGTTCATCAATATTTTCATCGTCAATATTTGCATCAATATGATTGTAAATACTTTCGAGTATTAACAATATTTTAGCCCGTGTGCTTGCTTAAGAGCATGTGAAAGCAAATATAAAAAATATAACCGTTAGCAGCACTTTTTGACGCATACCTTTTGATTCCATCTTACAGGGATTGATCAAATCAAACTCTTCATCAAACACATGCGACGCAACTTTAATCGCTAAAAACTTTGTCATCACCTCCGCTAGTTGCTACAAAAGGTACTGTAGGATAAAGATCTTCAGAATCAGAATTAATTGTTGAGTTTTCATGACATTTCAGATTTTCCCAGGACGAGCAATTAAGTGTCAAAATAGGTTCGAACAATGTACAACACAGCGGCGTGGAGAAAGTCGTGGTTCATCCTCTACACGAAGCAAACAGCCACGAGAACAATCTTGCAGTGCTGAAGTTGAAAAACGCAGTCACCGTTAGCGAAGAATCGATTCCAGCTTGCCTATGGAATACGCGATCGCACATCCCCTTTGCATTGGAAATAATCGGAACGACGAATAACGAAGTTTTCAAAGTTCCAGCCTATCCTCTGTATCAGAAAAGATGCGAAAAGCAACGATTTTCGAATCTTACCAGTACTGAACTCTGTGCAGCGCACGAAGGATCTGCTGTCAAAGAAAACTCGATGATCTGCCATGACGCTGGAAGTGGTATCTACAACTACTACGCCCATGGTTTGTATGAATCACAAGTTTCGTATCTTGTGGGAATCTATACCCGTGGAACCGACTGCGAAGATAGTGCCGTGGGAATCTTTACTCGAATAAGTCACCATTTCGGTTGGATCAAAAGTGTTATTTATCGTAACTTTTAACGAATTAAAGTAAGCAGCAACATAGCCACTGTTAACAAGAATCCGGCCGCAATTGAAGAAGCCCCTCCTCCGTTCGGTTTGATAGTAGTTGTGCTTAGTGTGTAATCGTTCGCTACCAGCCAATCACCAATCGAGTCGGAGTATTCGTCTGCCCATGCTATGTTGCGATCGGCTTGTACGACAGCTCTTTGGGCTGCAGATTTTACCGAATCCGTAAACGTGGCAGCATACTTGGCTACGATGTCTTGAAGCTGTAAGAAATGTTTTTTAAGACTGTTGCTACACCATAGGGGTCACGTAATAATTACGTAAGCACTTTTTTGGGGTTTTCAACCCCCCACTAAAATCTAACATCGAATATTTGAATAGTCTGTATATGACTTGTTCATGCTTACGTAAGACTTGTCGTAGACACCCTCCCTTCCACGTAAGAAAATGTAAGTAAACTTCTAACAACCGCTTCCCCCTAAGTGCCTACGTAATTATTAAATGATCTCATATTATATGAATCTACCGTTGCAAATGTCTCTTTGCTGTTGATCCTGTTTCCATACTCAGTGAAAATGTTTGCAATCGAGCCGAACATATACGATATGTCCGGGTAGTATTGGTACATCAATTTCAAGCTTTCACGAAGCCCTTCGTAGCTACCGCTCAAAACTCCAACGAAAATTTGGTTCCTTTCGACACCGGTCAGTTGAAAACCAGGAAGGTTAGTAATGGTTAGCCCTAGATAGTATCCGATTATGGTTACATTTCTGCTACAACCCATCCCGTTGATGAATCGACCGATCATCCCGTTATCGCTGTTCTTCAGTGGAAGATATCGATCAAACAGAACCTTCAATAAATCTTCACTTAGAGCCGCATCGTGTTTGCTGACGGCACAGAATGCAGCAGACTGAACTTCTTCGGGAACCATGTACGATTCGTCGTCCAGCATTTGATGCATCATTTTCTGAGCATCGTCAACGCAAGCTTTTACTCCGAAATAGCACGCCAAGTAGATGGTATTACCACGGTGAAGTCTGCTGATGTGATCGTTCTTACCTGATAGGCGAACACTGTCGTACATATTCCCGGTTATTTTCCGCACAAAGTCTTCAAACCGGGAGTAGTTTTTGTTACTAGAGAACATTCTGTTCAAGTGGATTAATGCGTTGTAAGCTGTGCTCCACGGAATGTACTCGGATTCTCTTACCAAGTATTGCAACAGTGAGAAAGCGATTTCATAACTTATCTCTCCAGCTTTCGCTAGATTACTAACGTCATCGACCAGTTGAGCTCGGTTGATTACAGGGATGGTATCTTTCTTCACTGAGTTCAATACCGCAGTCAACGAAGCCCAGTTATCATTGTCATAGTTTACTCGGTAATATCCAGTTTGTTGTTTGTTCACAAGGATCCAATCTACAGCTTCCGGTAGCTCCTTGGTAATCTCAGGAATATCTGGAGTCAACCAATCGACTGCTGTCGTATCCTCAAAATTAGCCTCCACGGAAGTAGCGTAGTTAAGTGGCACGTAAAATTTGTTATCCTTTGGCGCCGTTTCACCTTCCACTGGCATCCAGAAGCGCTTTTGAGCGCACGTCACGTATTTGCCATTTCTTGTCACCATAACCACCGGGTAACCAGCGTTATCTGCCCAATTATCAAATACTGCCTTCACACTATCTGGCACCGGAGCTTGGATAAACTTTTCGATGCTTTCATACAGATAATCAGGCTTCGTAGTTTGATAGCTACGGCTTGCAATGTAATCATTCAGGGCCATCATAAACGCATCAAATCCGATCACATTCTGTATCATTCGAATAACCGAAGCACTTTTCGCGTAGACTACGTAGTCAAACAAACCATTCAACACGTTCGGTTCCGTAGCATAGAAACTCATCGGACGATTACCGCTCTTGTCGTCCTGAGATAGTGCCGAGTGTACATTGTTAACCACAAACTGTTCCCACAGATGCCACTCATCCTCGATCTGAGCCGTCACGTAGTATTCAAAATATCTAGCGAATCCCTCGCTCAACCAGAGGTACGTCCACCACTCCGGTGTCACTTCATTGCCAAACCATGAGTGTACAAATTCATGGGTAATCAGATCAGCGATGTTCTGTTTGGTACGTGCCGTTGTCGCCGTCTCATCGTAGATCAAATAAACGGCGCGGAAGGTTATCAGGCCCCAGTTTTCCATTGCACCCATGTTGAAATCAGGAATTGCGATGAGATCAACCTTTGGCAGCTGGAAGTCATGTCCAATTAATTCTTCTAGGTACTTAAGTGATTTTTGCGCAAAGTCTACAGCGTAGGTCGTATGTTGCACTTGATTTTCCTGAAAATGATCTGGAAGGTTGATGTTTCTAGCTAACAGAGTATCATTAGGCTTCCGCTAGTAGTTACTTACCGGGGCATAAACTCGAACACGGTCCTGATCGCTGGCCAAAGTGGTGTAATCGGAAACAATGAATGCCAACAGGTAACTCGACATGAAAGGTGATGTTTCGAATTGAGTAACTGTGAACTTTTCACCATCCTGGGTTCTAAAATAAAGGTAGTCGTTTTCAAATCGAGTGATATTTGGAGTGATTTATCTGATTTTACTTTTGCTTCACGGGCATGTTGGACAGAGCGTGGTACTGCGACCGATGACGGATTGAGATGTTGAAGTATGCCTTGTACGACGGCTCATCGTAGCACGGGAAAACCGTTCGGGCGTAGGTTGACTCGAAATGCGTGGTTGCAATGTATCTGAAATATATTTTATTAAAACATTGGATGAAGATATGTGCCTAGTATTGAAAGTTGTTGGAAGTTCTGGATCATCCAAATTAGTCTACATTAAAGTTTTGAGCTAGGATAAGTGTGCCAAGATCTTAAGTGTCCCAGATTTTTCGTTATTTAAGTGCAATTTGAATTTTTCTACAATTTAAAGTATGAGTAATGTAACAAATGTAATAAAGTAGCTTTATAATTTAAGGAGTGTGTGCGGAGCACTTTGCCTAAACTAAATGGATGGAGACTTCTTGATCAGAAGTTGAATCAATTTTCTGTTTTCGAAAAAGTAGCTCTGCATAGTTTTTCCAATCTAAGTCTAAGGTTGGTTAAAATAGAGCTATTTTTGAACTTTGATTTATTAATATTATTATAGTCCATTTGACTTCGTAGTCTCAATGAAACATTTCAAACTAAATGTAGTCACTCATGAAAAATTAAAAATTGGCCGACAGCAAACCATGACGAAATCTGGAGGCATTTTTGTCAAAGTCAAATTGATGAATCATGGCGACAAAGGAACTGTTTGCAGCATAGTTGGTTGCATATACTACTTCATGTAGCAAGGCTCTCGGACGGAGTGTTCGGGCAGGAGCATGCAGATTAATTTGGTTACCAATTGCTCTGGTAACATGTCATTCCAGTTACGAAGTCCACATGCATGTTAATATTCTTCTTGGTTTTTTTATTCATCTTATATATATATATAGACTATTTGATTACATTCTTTACGCTTTGTTCATGGCTCGTTTTAATATTATTATTGGATTATTTAAAACAACAATAAAAGTATCACGATGAATTAATGGAAACAAAATAATGAAATGCTTTGTAAATTAGTGTTAAGAGTTATGTGTCTTTTTCCATCATGGGATTTGGCATCTCCTCGAGTTAGAGTGAATTCGATGGCTTTGTGTGACAATCGAGGAGGCCCCAAATTATAAAAAAATAACTATTTGTAGGACGCCCATGGCTATACAAAAAAATGGTGAAAGGACACTTAACACAAACTGAACTAAAACCTAAATAAATATCCTTACAAATAGTCAACCAGCACCAAAAATAAAAACATTTGTGAACCTTTGCATGTAGGACAACATATAACAACCAAAAGAAAATAAAACGATGAAACAAACACACGAATATAAAGTACGTGTTCTTAGTTTGTTCCATCGTTCACTTATGTAAATAACAAAGAAGACGGCAAAGCTCCGCAACTAAATTTTACAACCCTATTAAAATTTACTAACGCCTGGACTGTTCGCATCTCTACCTCATCATTGCCGAATTTGAGAGGATATGGATAATCGCTACTCCACCGCTTCGGGCGAAAAGCGATTTCGCCGCATCTAGATCGAGATAATGGATAATGAGAAAGGAAAGAGGAGGAAGGAAAGAGGGAGACCAAGGAGTGGATTTTGGATGCCCGACCAGTGAAGACGTCAAGAACCGTGTAAAATCTGGAGTATTTTTCTCTCCGAGTGCGGAAAATTAAAGGTCTTTGAGACCGACCGCGAGTGTATTCCACCGCGTTTGTGACCTCGGTGAAGAACACGATCAGCGAGTTTCTCCTGTTACCGAACCAGCCGTGTTACAAGGCCAGCAGTTGCCACTTTATACCCGCTGCGTGGTAGCCGCGTTTTACCGGCAGGCGCCAGCTGCTTCAAGTTTTTAAACGAACGGACGCCTTCTGAGTATCCTCGTGGTTCCGGGTCAGACAGTGCGGCTACCCCACGTATTCCGGAACATTGAACCCGTTCCCAGCCAAGCCAGTCAAGTTTAGAGCATCCGGCGGGGCAGAACAGAAGCATCCCCGCGTCGTAGGTTGGGTGAACACGTGACTACGATACGCCTCCGGCTCCGCCGGCCAAGACCAAGTGTCCCAAGGATTTTTGAGGACGGAGAACCACATCCCGGCCGCGTGAGAAGTGCAGGAGAACGGTACAACGACACGACGAAGACCCTTCCATCATCCTGATCTCCGACGTACGAGACGGGCTAGCCAGTGGCCAACGAGACCCCCTTACTATCGTTGTGCCACACGCGTTCGGTTTGGTGAAACGGACGTTTCTGAGGCAGAGGTACAGTGAGGTCCGGAGGGTTCGCCCCCGCTTATTGTTACTGATGCCCATGAGTTTCCCATCCATCTGCGGGCTAAGGTAGAGCTGCAGCCAACATCCGAGGATCCTGCGATCGATTGTCGTGGACAGCACCTAACCTCGAACAGCTCCACTCTTCCTTCCAAGCCCCTGCAGGGCAACTGGTATGAAACAGAACCCTCCTTCCTATCTCTCCGCATGTAACCAAGGGCCCCAACGTTGCAGATCGGCCGCACCGGTACCATCCCCTTTATGTGATATGTCCCTCAATAAAATTTAAGAAAATGATATCTATTTTGTATGTTATTCTTTTCACACTACACGAGCCCATGCATGTCGACTTAGGAAACTGTGTTGTCCGCTTCGCTTTAGTGTTGGGTTGTGAGTCCTCCGAATAAGTGGATGAGCCGCCCTAGAGACAGGTAAGAGTACCGGTGAGCTAGCCGTTTCTTACAATTTTGACCAGTAACTCAGGAACATCATATTATGCGAGCAAGACTTTAGTAACGAAGACGGCCTGCGATACGTTTCGTCGCTCAGCAAGAGTATCCAAACCTAGCAAACGACAGCGGTCAGCTTACGGTGGTAAATTCAGCGGGTCACTCCAAGGAAGATAGCGCAGTGCGTATCTGACGAATTTGCGTTGAACAGCTTCGAATCGTGCACTCCATACTGCTTGGTAGGGATTCCAAACAACACACGCAAATTCCAGTAGTGAGCGTACCTGTTGCAAACTGGGTGCACTGCCTCAGCGTCGCAACCACAGCGCCAGAATGTCCAACGCCGGCGAAAACGAAAACTGGGTGAGATGAGACGAGCAGCGAGTGAGAAAGACGCCGTTGAACAGTTGCAAAATCAAATTAATTTGTTTCAAATCAAAATTTGTTATTTTAAATTTGTTTCTACCTTAAAATGTTTCTACTTAAAACTAACTGGAAGATCGAAATTTGTAAGTAAATCTATTTAAACTAATATATAGTGAATTTGTTGCAAACAATAAAAAATCTACTTGCAGCTAGAAGCTTGCCACACACAAACATAACCTGTGTCTGCTAATGGAAGCGGTCGAACCAAAAAAGAACCCCTGGTAGGAACAGTACCAATGAACAGGAAAGGGCTTTAAAACACAAAGGATCACGGAATTCCTTAGAGATCTTGAACATGAATCCGAGCTGACGATTTGCTTTGTCGATCGTGGTTGAGAAGTAGCGAGTGTACGTGAGCTTTTCATCCAACATGACACCGAGGTCTATTTTTTCCTTAATTTGTTTTCCGTGCTGAGCACCAATGCTACCGATGCCAGAGAAACAGCTCCCACACCTGGACCCTACCTATCGACCCATCAACTCATGAACTGGGGGACCAACGGCTTTATTTCTCTTTCCAAGGAAGGCGTGATCAGAGATAATGTGCCTCAGAACATCCCGGCAGCGCCGACTGGGATTGAACTCAGGTCTGCTGGGGTCAGAGGTGATCACGCTTACCACTACACCACCAGCGCCGCTACACCGAGGTCTAGTTCGATGGAAACTAATTACGCAGCACTTTGAGACGCACTGGACCATAAAATTACGTTCACACCAATCAATAAAGATTTCCAGAAGGTTCTGTAGTTCTAAACAGTCAGAATAGCCTCAAACGGCTAGGTAAATCTTCAAGTCATCGTCGAAAAACAATTTACCTCCACGTAGTAGAAGAAACGTTACATCGTTCACAAATAAAGAGAAGAACAGTGGTCTCAAAGTGCTACTCTGTGGAACTCATGATCCGTTAAAAAAAAACAGTACGATGAGTAGTTTCCAATGCATACAGTAACTTCACGTTGTACGAGGTACGATCTAAGCTAGCTGCAGAACATCAATTTTTTTCAAGCTTTGCTAGCACAACGTCGTGCATAACGCTGTCAAACGCAGCTTTAAGATCAATGATAAGCAAACGAATAGTATCATTCCGTTTCCCATAAAGTTTTCCAATTGTTGTAAAGTTGACCCATCCTACACACCAAAAAATTCTGAATTTTACTGGCGATGTAAACATCCATGCATGCAAACATGTAAACTTCCTTTTCACGTAAACTAGCAGCTTGCAAGAAATGTTGCAAACAAAAGAGGACAGTTGCATACAATATATGGAATATTGCAGGACATGTCGCATAAATTTACACGATCTATAATCTAAACTTGTATGATATATGACGCTCCATTTATGTGCATCATAGTGACGTAAATTTAGCCCCGTAACGTGGGTAGATCACCTTTTCGTGGTACGTTACGGGATGTAAGATCTACCACCGATTCCTAGTCCCGACTACTTCAAACTAGGGGAACAGGATTTTTCAGCAATCCAAGGAACACATCTTAGTCCTTGTTACTTTTTATGCCTTGTTGATAGTGACAAGACTCGGCTTTGTCTACCAAGGATGATCTTGAAACAAGGCAAAAAATGAGTAAGTTGTCTTCATCTATGTGATTCCTAATCTTCTCTTCGTTGTTCCCTAGTTTGAAATGGTTAACACGCTAACTTGAAAGTACCCATTAATGGTTGAAAAAGACCCATTTTGAAGAAAAGTGGCTTAACTCATAAATGATTAAACAATTTTACCCATTAATGAGTATCTGTTACCCATTAATGAGTAATTGTTAATCATTAATGGGTAACAGATACTCATTAATAGGTAAAATTGTTCAATCATTAATGAGTTAAGCCACTTTTCTTCAAAATGGGTCTTTTTTACTCATTAATGGGTACTTTCAAGTAAGCGTGAAGACTAGGGTTCTGATGCATGGTCATTATCGGTGTCATACCTTAATTTTGTTGCTAAGGAATCCAATTTTGACTGACAAAGGGGCGCGCCTTTGGAGGGTGTTTCAACGCTCC